ACAATCTAAGTCCCTAATGGACTACAGTCTGACAAAACTTCAAGGCATGTCTCAATGCAAGCTGAAATCCCTGGAACTGTCCCAAGGCCTACATGAACATTGGTATTGATATACTGGTCAGACACATGGTCCAGTTGGACATGCTTTCAAATCTAACACCAGCTGTTTCAGTGAAAGGAATAACAATATGCAAACATATATTGATGTTGGATACACAGTCCTTCATATTTATTCTCAGGTTGATCTCTGGCAGTTGGAAATCTACTTTGACCCAAAGACACAAAGCTGGTTTTCCCTTTTTTTTGTCTCCTCAGCTAGAATTAAGTAGGTGCCCAGCCAGAGCTAAGCACGTTCAGTAGAATCACAGTGAAGAGTTTTGTTCCTTAGCTAATATTTGTTGCTCTAGTGAAATAACAAGAGATAGCAGTTCTAAGTTCGAATAAAGGTGCCTAAACAAGACTTGTAGGAAGAGGGACACAATACATTTAGTCTGTCAAATACAAACACTCTAACCCAGGCTTTACAGTTTGAATGTTCAAGATTTTCACCTCATGTTATTAAAAGCAGATGCAATTCTTAAGTGCAGTGTGAGACTTTTACCACATAAAAGGTCAGGAATAACAAAGAAATATAATGGCATTCAGTCATACAAGAAAAAAAATACTTTCTCAATAATAGGGATTCAAAGACTCATTTAGTGCCTTGATCAAAAGAAAAAAGACAAAACCATCTTGTATGACATCTTAGTTTGAAATATTTTTTTCTTTTTAAACTTTATTTTTAACAAAAATACTACCAGATACAAGTGGTGCTAACAAAATATTTTAAAGTACACACACTTGGAGATATGGTTGTTGTTGTCCTATGAATTAACATAGTTGATACATAAATATGAATGTCCTATAATAAAATCACATTTTTTCTCAATAATACATTCTGTCATGCTCCCTGAGCTACAGTCCTTTCCCACGAAAAATTCCCAGTATGATATGAGATGCTTGGCTCTTGGGGTGTGTACACCATTTGAAATTATTACTTCAGCAAATGCATTTTTAGGCACCTTGTGATCCAAAGGTAGGAAACAGCTCCAAAGATATGAATTTCTCTCATTTTGTAAGGAAGCTAATTTGTGTTTATGTGTGCAATTCTTAATTTCTCTCATGTTATGTATATTTCTAGTATGTGTAGCATACAGACACAGACTTTGATCAATGAGTGATTATGTTTCATACCTGGTGAGAAGAAAAACCACATAATTTTCCCCTGTCACCTTTTTAACTGTCTGCTTTAGGATATGATTATTGGGAAAGTATATTAATACTAGATGCTTGTAATTTTTCAAGCCAGTGCTTTTCGTCTTTCTTAGAATATTTAGCTTTGACCAGTGTGAATAAGGAAGATACAGCTATACAGAGATTTTGCTGAGGAAGCTGCATCACACAGATTAATGATGTGAAGATATCAGGGCTTCAGAGCTGCTCGCAGGCACCTTGTCTTTGCAGGAATGGTTCTTTTTGCCTTCCAGGTGGTTACAGATTGCCGAGTCATCTTCTCAGTTTCTTGCAGATGTTAGACTCCAGGGAAAAACACTCAAGAGGAATTTCACAAAGTGTTTCCTGCTGTGTTCTTTCACATGTATTTTCTATTTGTCTTCTCTCATAACTTTTATTTTGGGATGAGACAATTCAATCTAGTTTTGTTCAATGTAGTTACAAATACTCTACATATCAAAATGTCCATTGCTTTTCTTTGGAGATACTAGTCCACGAAAAGCAGAAGTCTGAAGATTGAAATGGGTTGAAAAAAAGAACCATGTGTGCCCTCTGAGACCTTAAGGTGAAAGTAAAATAAGATGGTATTTTGCATGTTAAAACTGTCTGGGTTTCAGTTTTCCCAGGCTTTGCACAAGCTTCATTTCATATACGTATATCTATAAATGCCCAATTTCAGCCATATTTTCATGGTAGCTTGCAAAAAAGAAATAGATGGTGATACATAAGGCAGAGTATTTACTACTACAAATAATTTCTAAAAAAAAAAAAAAACCAGACATGCAAATCACCTTTCCTGCTGTATGGGTATAGGTGGAGTATTGGCTGTATATTAGACTTATTTCAGTTGATAGATATTATGAGATATGGCAGACTATCTTTGGAGATTTTTTTTTAATTCTGATACACTTTTATTTCTAAAGTAATGTTCGAAAGATTTTATTTTTATTTCTTGTTTATCTCCATGAGATTTTGCATCCCCATGGATTTTCTTACAATTGCTCTCATGTGACCAACTTTGCAACACTATCTAACGCTGAATTCATGCCAGCCTTCACAAACTTTAAAAACACTGTGTAATGCTCAGCATACAGAATGGGTGCTTCATTCGGGTTCTACATAAATTATGGCAAAGTGATCTGCTAACATACTATATTGCACAAAATTTTGGTACTCATGAAAAGTAATATAATATCAATATATTTTATGCCTGTGAAGAAATTTGCAATAAAATGTAGGAACAAGACATGGTAGGCTGGAAAAATCTAAATCAAAGAAAAAGGGAAAGTCTGAAGATCAAAAGGAATATAAGAATGAAAGATACATAACTCCAACCTGGTAAGGAGCATTAAGATCTCAGAATACTTAATTTTCTACTGCATTTAGCAGTTTTAATGTACATATAAAATCAGTTTTACAAACATTAATGATGCCACATTTAGTAGTACATTAAAGTAATACTCACAAATGATCTACCAAAGGGGAAGACACCACTGGGAGGAAAAACTTAACTTGCCCCGTTACCCTGTCCTAATAAAGGTGCACCCTAAAATAGCACAATTTACAGCCTCCTTTGAAAACAAATAAATAAACAGATATATAAAGAAATAAAAGGGGAGAATATTTTTGCCTTTTTCTTTTTTTTTTTTCCACCCAAACTCTGAATCTTCATGTTTCGAACTAGGTCAGATTGAGTTGTGGCCTGAACCTTAAAGAATGCTCAGTGGCAGCTCTCTATCGCCTGTACTCTTTTAAAGGCACTAGTGCTTTTGGGTTTGTGTCGGGAAACCTCGGAACTGGAATAATCCTTGCAAGCGGCGATACGCCCTCTGTCACTTTTAGGATGGGAAGCTCCTGTCAAGCCCTTTTGCCGGGTGGAGGCCGAGCGCTTGCCCTGACCCGCGGCTGCCCGCGGTGACCAGGGGGCGAGGTCCGCCCGCCGCGCCCGCGAACCCCGCGCCCTGCCGCGCCCTACCGGCCGCGGGCTGGGGTGGTCCTGGTCGGATGGAGCACTCCGCTCTACTGCCCGTGAGGCGCAGGGGGATCCCTGGCCACGCTCCCTCCTCAGCCGGGGAGAATGTTCGACCTCGCAGCCTTCGCCAGGACCCCCTCCAGCAGCGCTGAGCCTTCGGAGAGCCTTAAGCCTGCGAGGTGCCTCTCTGGTTTAACCTGGTGCCTGAGCGTTGGTTGACACGAGGAGGTGAATCAGCAGGGGATCGGCAAGCTAGGACTGCACAGCTAGGGGTTGGGAAACGCTTATCATGGAGAGAAATCACCTTGACCACAACATCACAACATTCCAGTAAAAAAAACAACAACAACAACAAACAAACCAACAAAAAAACCCACCTCTTAAACCCCAGAAATCAATAGGAGGTTGCCGGCATGCTGAACAAAGTTTTATTTTAATGCAGATGAACTGTAAATTGAAGAAAAAAATATAAAACCTCACCAAAAACCAAATCCCAAAACACAAGAAAAAGAACAACAACAAAATCCCTTTTAGTATTTCATAAACGGTTTAAGGTCTGTGAAAAACGTTCGCGCATCGTCGTGGGAAGGCAAATGATTGCAAATGTACCTCTTGGAAGACAGTATTGAGCATCGTTAGAGATAGCTTCGTAAATTAAATCTCGATGGTATCTATTTCTGGAAAAATCTTACTTAAAAATAGCAGACATACAAAACTGCATTCTAAACAAAAAGACGATCCCCACCCCTCCCCCCCCCCGCTCTCAGGCTGTGTGGAACTGGAAATCTTAAGAGCAACCACCCCAGCAGCTGGCTGCAGGGAAGGGGCAGGGGGGTGGGGGGGGGGTCCGCCGGGTATCATTGCTGGGAGATACTTTGAGGGCAAAGTAAAAGTGCCTCCCGGGAGCAGCGCTCTGCTGCTACTGCCGCCGCCGTCTCTGAGATGCTACAGTATTGGGCGGAGAAGAAAAGAAATGAGTTTGGAGTTGATGTACACGCCGGAGCAGCAGTAAAAAGATATAAGATATCGACACGCTCAGCTGCATCTTGTTAAAAGCTTCCTGCGGGTTGGCAGAATGAAATCTTTATTTAAAATACACAAACTATCGTCAGGGGAGGAACGGAAGGGAAAATACTAAAAGGGCCAAACGCAATGCTTAACTCACCGGTACAAGCGAGAGAAGAAAAACGAAGAGATTGGTTTGGGGCGAACAGAAGGGGGGAGGAGAGGTATGTCCTCCTCGCAGCCCAGCCACAGCAGCCACCCGGGGACTCAGCGTCTCCTCTCAGCTTTAGAGAGAGACTTTGATGATGATAATGATAATTGCTCTGGTAGGGAAAAGGGACGTTCAGATACCAGAAGCAGAATTTATGCTCACACTTGGGTGTGAATAATAGGGAAACGTGCCTCGCCACCACATCCACAGCAGTGGTGGTAATATTGTTTTATTTCATTATTGCCAGCCGGTGCTTTACAGGTGCATTATTTTAATGCATTATTAATTGTTTTCCCAGGGAGAAAAGGAAGGTGGGGACAGGGCTTATCATTATTAATAGCGACAAGCTCGCTCATTCACTCTCTTCGCACACGCTGGGGAGCGCGGTGGGAGGAGGCAGCTCGGGGTGAGGCGGACGGCGGAGCATGCCCCGCTACCGGTCTCGTTGCTGCGCGGCTGACGGCGCGCAAACGCGGGGCTCAGCGTAGCCTCCACCCCTCGCTCCCCCTCCCCCCCTCCCCCCAGGCCCCAAGCCCCACAGAGCCGCCACCGGACGGAAAGTTCCGCGGGTGGCTGACGGTGCGGTCCCCGGCCGGAGCGCCACTCGGCGACCGGCACCTCCCCATCGCCAGCTCCGCGCGAGCGGCGTGGCTCCGAGGCCGCCAAAGTTGCGGCGGAGCCACGGGGCCGCCGCTGCTGCTGGCCATCAAGTGGCTCGTTAAGGAAATGCAGGTGAGCGGGCTGAGCGGCGGCGGGGGCTGCGGGGGGCCCGGTGGGGAGTGCGCCCCGGCCCAGCCCTGCCCGTCCCCCAGGGCAGCCCGCCTGCAGCCAGTGGGGCTGGGCTCGAAGAGCGGTAGGCTGCGGCGCCCCCCACGACAGGCGCTTCAACGCCCCCCGCACTCGCACAGACACACGCACCCACACCCCCCTCCTCTCCACCCCTCGCTCCCTCCCTCCTCCCTCTCCTCGTCGCTCTTTTTCTCCCTCCCTCACTCTCTGCTGGCCTCATCGGAGAGAGTTGCAGGTACCTTTCCTCTCCCCTCTCCCCCTCCCCCCTCAAATTTTAGGGTGCAAGAGTCTCGGGAAGGCTTTTTTTTCCTTTTTATTTATTTATTTTTTTTAATTGCTGCTAAAAGAAAAAATAATTTTTGGGAAGGATGACTCTTTTTCAGAGTCTGGTCTGAAAGCGGGGTACCCCCAAGCAGCTAGTGGCAGCAGCGCTGGATCCCACTAAAACAGAACTGCCTGATGTGGCATGTGCTTCTCTCTCTTTGCAGTTCCATCTGGGCCTTTATGGACTAGGGGCACAACGCGGCGCCTGACTGGCAGGAGGGGAAAGCGGAGACTCCTTCAGGTTTCCGAAGAGGTCCGAACGGACAGCATTAGTAAGTAAAATACTCCATGCTTGGTTTCTGTCCCTATGCTCTTCTGCTTTTCCAAACGTTTTCTTAGCATATACACTCACACACATCTTTATATATATACGTATGTGTGTGGGTATGTGTGTGTGTTTCTGCTTGTAAATCACACTGTTCTGGTCAGAGAGAAGCTTGGCTGTGGTAACTTAAACTGCTTTCAGTGGGAAAAGTGCAGGAAAGTGGTTTGCTTGTCTTTTATGAGGAAAGAAAATTGCAGGTGAATACTTGTGTAAAGAACCTGAGGGTGTCAAATATTGTGTAATGTCTACCTTAGTGGGAGTGTAGGTATGTGCTAGATTACAGACAAAACCTAAACAAAGAGACGCTCCCTCAGGAGAGGTCTAGAGCACAGTGTGACCTGCTAAGTAGTGCCAGGTGGCAGGGCGTTCACTTTAATATAAAATGTGCATGGATTATACATACTAACAGTGTTTTGGCTGGATTCAGTTGTCAGCATTTTTTCATCCAAGTGTCTAAAGTTACTAGATTTTTCATGAAGTTTTTTATCTATAGAATGTATTTTTTTTTTCTAATGAGGATGACAGTTACAGACAACAGCTTTGCTTTAAAAGTGCTTGTAAGGAACATATTCAAAAGTACTGACAACACATTTCGAAATAGGTGAGAAAGATCTAGGGTAAGCAAAAATATTTAAGAGGGCTTCATGAATAATGTGACAGGTTTGTTGGCAGGGCTGTGGAGTTGACAGAAGGTACAAAGATCAGGTAAAGGTGTGTCATGAAGAGTCTGCTGTTAGGTGTTTAGCACTAAATATATCTGCATCTGGGGAGGATAACTTTTGCAGGCATTACTTCTCTTAGGACAGTGGACTCATTGACATTTGCCACATCTCTGGTAGAGGAAACAGCTATTACTAGTAGTTCAGGGTTAACTGTTTCCTAGGTGGAGGAAAGAAATAAGAATGAAAAGTATATCAATGAAAATAATTGCTCATGTTTGCTAATATCTAAATAAAACCTTTGTGTTATGTCAGTAGTAATATAGTTGAGTCAGGTGTTTTGAATGTACTGGAAGGAATCAATAGCATTTCAGCATTTTTTTTCTATTCCTGCCAAATGCACTTGGATTTAAATTCTTCATGTGTTATTTTATATGATGTAGGGATAATACAGTTTTGAATAAATTAAACTTCTTTAGAAATTCTTGACAAATTTGGATTAGTTTACAGTACAAATTTCAAATAATAAATAAGTAAATAAACTGTGCAGTTCAAGTCTCTAATGTATGATGTTTTTACTGTTCATTTCCTCAGAATTCACTTGTGTCCTTAGAAGCCATTAAACATGCATTTACAAGTGTTTTTTATTAAGCAACTCAGTATAAAATTAATGTTGCATTTTCAGGTGTAATTCAAAATCAATTACAACTAATGAATGTCACCAGGAGTGAAAGTTTATTAGGGTCAAATTAAATGCTTTTCTGTGTGAAGTAAAGAAATTAGTTTATGTCACAACAGTAAAGGTAATTGGACAAAATTTGTTTAGGAAATTTATGTGCCAAGAGCAGGAAAGGCTAAATCTGCAGTAGCAGGAGGATGACATTCAAAGGCGCTTTCAGGTATTCATAATCTTAAAGCTAAGAAAAATTACAAAGCATGGGCTGCTGCAAGTTCTGAGGTAGTGAATCAGGGTGCTTTCATATCATATCGCAGTACTCTTTGGGTAATGGACAGTAACATTTATGATAGGAAAAATACCAAATGAACTTAGAACTTGAAATAAAAGAATAACACATCTTCTGGCTTATTAAGAAATCCTATTGTTGCTGTTTTAGTACTATAAATGTATGTCAGTTAAAAAAACAGCCTTGCTATTTCTTGTTTGATTTTTTTGTTTGTTTGTTTTTTTTAGAAGGTAACATTTGACATGACTCATTGCTGTGTTGTACTTACTGCCTGCGAGCAGAGCATTAAAAGGCTATATCCAGATAATTTCCATGAACTGTTCTGAGACTGCATACAGAGAAGCGTATTAGGTTAAGATTTTTAGGTTATGTTCTGCTAGGTGATCCCAAACATGAAGTGTGCAGTGTTGAATGCCTAACAAAGTGTCAGTTTTTTAAAGAAAAAAGGTTAAAATATATGTGACTAATCAGATAGGAACTACATTGACGTTATTCAACTGGAACTATGCATACTTAATGGTTTTATTATTTTGGAATGTAGTCTTCATTATTTGTCTGATTTTCTTTAAATCTGGGATATCACCTGTCAATACTTCAGTATCTATATGAAAAATTACTTGACACATACTCCACTTTTGCTGTAATAACTGCTTGCTACTGTGTGAAATGACCCGAGTCGCATTGTGGCAATTAAGTTTGATACATACTATATTTGATCTTATATGTATATACAGTCTTGATCATAATTGTTGGTACAGGATAGTGTTGAATCAGGTCAGTCTAATTCAGAAGAAACAAACAGCAGAGGACTTTAAACAGCCCTCTTGCTGTGAATATGTAAAGTTGATAGAATAAAGTTGCATGTGTCAGCAGTGGTGTGTTTTTATTATGCAATTGTTCTTGTTATTCAGATCAGATAATAGCCTGATGAAATATATAAGCAGTCTGCAGGAGTGAATGATTAATTCCTCTAACATGTGCCTATTGTGTGAATTCTTACTAATAAAATCCTACACCTTCATTAGTTTGGAGTAAAGTCAAATAGTATTGTCTGTATTAATATTAATTACTTAGTATACCAATGTGCTGCCAAACTTTGTGGTCAAACTGTGATGGAAAAAATTATGACAGAGTATTCATTCTTTGTTACATGTGGCTTTACTGAAGAAATTGACAGTACACATGAACTTGATGTTTGATAGCACAAACTATTTTGAAATGGTGTATATGATAATTACCAAATAATACACAGATGTTTTAATCAGCTTGGTTTGTGTGTCTTCTTCTGACATTTATAAAGCATTAATCACTTTTATATGTATGGATTCTAACTGTACAGGTTCCAAGTACTATAACAAGTTGGACAAACTAAGATATCTTTAGCTTCTTTAGCTAAATTGGAAAACAGGCCAGCTCAGCATTTTGGGAAAGGTTTCTGGTACTTTTCATCAGTCCAAAGCTTGTTTAGTGTAAAAACAGATTGGTACCTGAGTTCCACGTATTTAGAGTAAGCTTAATTGATTTGGTATCACTTTGAAGACCTTGTAAGCAGCAAATGTTCTTGGCAGCAAATATGATTTTAACAGTGGCATTTATGCAGATGATCTGTAATTTAGGATTGGATTTTGGTATCTGTAGTCAGGGAAAGTAGGTTTTTTCCTTCATTAGTGGCCAAAGGGATTCTAGGGAAAACAGATGGGAAGAAGGAAACATTTAGGGCATTCTTCAAATAATAATTAAAAAAAAAAAAGGAAAGATAGCTATAGAAATATTTCGGTATTTTTGCTGGAGAATGCCTGTTTATGTGTTTTTGTTTGTTGTTTGGTTTGTGTTGGGCTTTTTTTTTTTTTGCTTTTTTTTTCCTCGCATACTTGTTATAAGGTCATTAGTACTAGAAGTTTCTTGAGCAGCTTTTATGCTGTCCGTCCTTCAAGAGTTTCCACTTCTCAGTTTTGCATCTATAATCCTAATGGAAACTATGATAAAGTTAAAAAGGGGCTTTATGTCACAGTGATAACAGTGATGAAGAGAGGGTCACATAATATTGACAAGGAGTGCATTTGGTCTATTTGGGCATACTTGATTGTGATGAAAAATGTTTAGTAGCAAACTAAGTTAGATGGATTTAAAATTCTAATAGGAAACAAGCAATAGGCATGAATGAATTCACTAACAAGAATTAAATCTACTTAATAATAGAGAGTAAGAAAAGGAAGCGTGCACACAAGATCAGGCAAAAAGGATGCATAATGGAAGAGTTTTTTAGTGTTCTTAATGCCATTAGATGCTGTCTGATTTTCAGTTTATCTGTTCTAGTAGTTTCTTTAATAAGAGTCAGTGTAAAACAATAACAGAAAAGCTAGCAATACATGGAGAATTGCCGAGAAATGACTACTTTTATGGTCAATATGAGGATTGAATTGCTCATCTGTTTTCATTTGTTATCAATAGTTGCAGAAACTGTCCTATTTCTCTTATCTTTCTATTCTATTAAGTATGCTTTATTAAGTGAAAACTATTGTGTGAGAAATCTCTTTTTTCCACTTTGTATTTCTCTACTGTCAACTTTATAACTGCTTCTAAAAAGCGGATTTTTTTTTTTTGTCACTGCAAAATCTTAAAATCTAGTTGAATATGATTTTATCTGAGTAGAGACGGCAGAATCTGGTTTATAAAATCAACTTCAGAAAATATATGTTAGCAGTACTGTAAAATTTATCAAAATACTATATATGTTTTAAATTCATTCTGAATATAGGAGTGCTTTTAAATGCCTTTAAAGTTGTTTGAAATATTATAATGCTTTTCAGATTATGCACTTACATTTTGCTGAATGTAAAATTAAGGTTTTAGAGAGAGATTTGAAGAAAGGAATTTCTGGATTTGTGTGTTTGCAATACAAAGGCTTTCAATAGTATGATGATTTTTACTAAGAATGCTGTGTGGGATTTTTCCGGCTGTAAGCAGCATGAGTGTATGCGTTTACCAGTTAAAAAGATAGATACATATTACAGGTCCAGTCCTCTGCTTTCTCTATATACTGGGTCTAGAAAAACACTCTCTACAGCAGTCAGTCCCATTCGTAAGTCTCATCTCTTTGTGAAAAGCTGGAAGGATGTTTAAAATAATTTCTTCAGTATGTTTCACGGTAGCTTTTCAAAAGGTAAGGTGAACGTTTTGGTGCATATGGTGCGTTCTGCTCTTCTGAATTTAAAGTAAGAACTGTACACAGTGGCTGTCAAGAAATTACTCTTTCTCCAAGCTGCTGCTCTTTATTTGGTTTGAGATTACCTAGCTCATTTGCTGAGTATGTGTAACAGTGC